TGTGTAGGAAGAAATCTTCATCGTCTACTGTATACGAATGATATAGCATTGGACCTCCTGATTTTGATGTTGTGATTGCAATTTTCAGCACAATGTGCCTAAAGCCAATGGATCCCATCCCATGACTCGAATATTGCTGGCCAGAGTTTACATAGTAATGTAAACTGCAGTGTTACTTGATGAACATAAATGGTGCAATTTATGAAATTTTTCCAAGCTACTGCTACAAACTTAATAAGATCATATCAGGTTTAGGGAAAACTTCTTTGATGCAGTAGACCTATAACGAGTTTGTGACTTTAAATATAGTCCATAAATCAGCTGAAGTTCAGCAAATATAGAACAAAATTTTAGCTATAACATGCTGAAGTTCAGCAAATAGAGAACAAGACTTCAACTAGTAGAATGTTTAAGTTCAGCAATTACAAAAAAAAAATATCAGCCAACACTAAGTTTACTGTAACGACCCGACCGGTCGTTTTGAGCTTTTGCACTTCGATCGCCAGTTCTCGGGCATGACTTGCCCCGTGTTATGTATTGTGACTAATGTAGATCATTGGTTTTGGTTTTCAGGAAATAATTTGGAATGAATTTGAAAGAACAGTTTCAGTTGAAAGCTTGGAATTTGAAAGGGTTGACCAAGAGTTGACTTATTTGTATATGAGCTCGGATCGGAGTTTTTATGATTTGGTTAGCTTCACTGGGTGATTTATGACTTAGGAGCGTGATCGGAATTGGTTTTGGAAGTCCGGTGTAGAATTAGGCTTGAATTGGCGAAGTTAGTATTTTGGCGATTTCCGGTTGATAGGCGAAATTTTGATCCGAGGGTCGGAATGAAATTCCGAGAGTTGATGTAGCTTCGTTATGTGATTCGGGATGTGTGTGCAAAATTTCAGGTCATTCGGAGGTGTTCTGGTTGGGTTTTTGATCGGATGCGTGTTTCGGAAGTTTTTGAAGAACTTAGGCTTGAATTCGATGAGAAATGATGGTTTTAGTGTTGTTTGAGGTGTTTTCATGATTGGAACAAGTTTGGGTGATGTTTTAGGATGTGTTGGTGCTTTTGATTGAGGTCCCGGGGGCCTCGGGTGAGTTTCGGGTGGTCAATCGGACCATTTTATAAGTTGAAAAGTTGCAGATTTTCAGTTTAGGTGTTGCAGACATTTAATCCTTCGCGATTGCATGGGGTATATCGCGATCGCATAGAAGGATTTTGGGCAGGCCAGTTAATGCTCTTTGCGTTCACGTTATTTGGTTAGCGATCGCGGAAGGTCGGTCAGTGGTGCTTCGCGTTCGCGGAGTCGAGTTCGCGATCGCGTATTAGTGATTGAAGGTCTAGTAAAGTTGTTCATCGCGTTCGCAGGGATGGCATCGCGTTCGCGTAAGTTCAGAGGTCCAAAGCATCGCGTTCGCGTGTGTGCGGCCGCGTTCGCGTAGCGGTTATTTTGGTCAAGGAAAATTTGTGCATCGCGAACGCGGGGGTTTGACCGCGTTCGCCTTGAAGGGATTCCAGAACCTGGGCAGAATGTTTTAAGTCACTTCATCCTCGATTTTGGGTCATGGTTCGTCCATGGTTGATCATTTTGAGAGCTTCTTGGTGGAGATTAAAGAGGGATTCAAGGGGAATCGATTGGAGGTAAGATTTTTGAACTTGAAACTCATTTTTATTGTGTAATCTACCTAGAAATTTATGGAACTTAAGCAAAAATGGAAGAAACTAGGGCTTGGGATTTTAAAATTTGATTTGGGGATTTGAAGGACCAATTGGGGTCGAATTTGAGAACTTTTGGTATGTATGAACTCGTGAGGAGGTAAGGAACATATTGATGTGAAAATTTCTGAGTTTCGAGAAGTGGGCCCGGGGCTCGAGTTTTGCTAATTTTGAGATTTTTGATATTTTTCGATTGTTTTCGATTGGGTATTGTTCCCTTAGCCTATTGTGATGTATTCGCTCTGATTTTGGATAGATTCGACGCGCGTGGAGGCCGATTTGAGAGGCAAAGGCGTCGCGAGCTAGAGATTTCGCCGGTTCGAGGTAAGTAATGATTGTAAATGATATCCTGAGGGTTTGAAACCCCGGATTTGCATACCGTAGTGCTATATTGAGGTGACTTGCACGCCGGATAGCGAGCGTGGGGTGGAGCACCGTTGGGGATACTGACTTGGTCCGTCCCGATTGATGATTTTACCGCGTATTTGACTGAAACTTATTTGTTATTATCATGATTTGGGCTTATTGTCATATTTGGGCTTTGTGCCAATTATCTGAACCCTTCGGGGATTTTTATCATTGTTTCCTCACTATTTTGATATACTACTTGAACTCAGTCCTGTTGATTATACTGCTTCACAAACTCAGCCGCTTTAATTGAACTTTGAGACTTAAATGATATTTCCACTGTTGTTTGGGCTGATAACTACTATTTTATTGATGCCTGAGGGGCTTATGATATTTTTTGGACTGAGTAAGGCCGAGGGCCATATGTGAGGAGGCTTTCAGGCCTCGAGTGTGATGTGAGGAGGCTTTCAGGCCTCGAGTGTGATGTGAGGAGGCTTTCAGGCCTTGTGAGTGATGTGAGAAGACTTTCAGGCCTTATGTTATATGCCACGAGGTGGCTTGATATTGCGCTTGGGCCGTAAGGGGCCCCTCCCGGAGTCTGCACACCCCCAGTGAGCGTCGTCGATGATATGTGGATCGGGTTGTACGCCGCAGCGAGATGTGGATCGGGCTGCACGCCGCAGCGGTTACTATATGATACTATTCTGAGAGTGATCTGAGAGAGAGAGCCCGAGGGGCTGAGAGTGTTTCTGAGAGTGAGCCCGAGGGGCTGGTACTGTTTTGAGATATTGCCCGAGGGGCGAGCTTTTATGTGCTCATCTTGCATAATTACTTGCCTTTTTACCTGTTATACAGTGATATTTGTGCCCGAGGGGCGGATTTTTCTGTGCTTATCAGCATTAACTGTTTTGAAATCATTTCGTAACTGTTGGAAAGATCATTTTCAAAGGAGATTTAAACTGAGCCAATATATTTCTAAAGATTTCACAGCTTCACTGTTTTCTCAAAGGATTGTACCCTGCTTCTATACAGCATGTTAGTTGCTTTACGTGATTTCTTACTGCTCAGTTGTTATTTACCTTTATTACTCACTTAGTTGGAGTACTCACTTTACTCCCTGCACCTCGTGTGCAGTTGCAGGTATTTATTCACCCGGTAGCGGGTATTGGCTGTTTGGAGGCAGAGCTGTAGTAGTTTAGCGAGGTGACTGCCAGGATTCGCAGCACCGTTTCCTTTCCATGTTATTCATTATGCCTGTTCAGTGTATTTCTAGACTTGTGAATGTAATTACATTCTTATAGATGCTCGTGACTTGTGACACCCCGATTAGGGCTGTGTTGGGTTGTTCCGCTAATTAATACTATTAAGTCATATTTAAGCTGTTTATTCATGTTTAACTATTTTTTTGAAAAGACGAGTTGGGGTTAGTTGGCTGGCCTCGTCTTCACGAGAGGCGCCATCACAACCAGTGCGGGGTTTGGATCGTGACATTTACGCGAAAAACTTCAGCTAAAACATGCTGAAGTTCAGCAAATAGAGAACTAAACTTCAGCTAGTACGACTATAGTACAAAAACTTCAGCTTATTTTAGTGCTGAAGTTTTTACAAATAAACTAAATAACTTCAGCATCTTCTGCTGAAGTTTTTGAAAAAGCTTTACGACAAAACTATTAAATCCAGGACAAAACTCAGCTAAAACATGCTGAAGTTCGGCAAATAGAGAAACAAAACTTCAGCTAGTAGAATGCTGAAGTTTAGCAATTACAAACAACTTCAGGCCCGTCTACTAGAATGCTGAAGTTTGCGCGGTTGCCTTTGCTACTTCAAGCCCGTATGCCTGAAGTTTACGCGAAAAGTGGGTACGCTTGCAATTTTTTTTTGCAAAGCGGGTATAAGTTAAAATGTGACCCAAAAAGCGGATATAGATGAAAATCCCCCCTGCTATTTGACAAATAAAATCTGACTTGTTAACCTTCTAGAGGAAAAAACATAACTAGGCAATAATTTAAAATTTTTTACACTGCCTTAGCAGATTATCTTAATTTACAATTTTGGCTATCATGTATTTGCATTTCAGTCACTCTATCTATTAAATCGGCATCTCATCACCCGAATCCCTGCAAAAATCATGTTGTCGTTAGCTAATTTCACGCTAGATAGACTTTTATCTTTTAGGAGTGTTTCTCTTTATTTTATTGGTATTTGGTAATAATGATTTTAATATTTCTCTCAATTCCAATTATGGTGGTTGTAATGAATTATATGCTATTATACGTGGGATCCTTTTTGCTCATGTTTCAAGTCGTGCTTCTTATGATTTAGTCCATCATACTTCTCTCCTTTTTCTTTTTAATTGTTCGGAGTAGAACTAATATTTTTTTAGAAACAATAAATTTGTGCAATGTGTAGAAAAATTCCTTTGTTTTTTGGGTTTGTCAAAAAAATTGTAAACTAGTAATAAGTAATAAACCGCCCGATTTTTGGTATTATATGTATATAAACCATATATTTTATATATGTAAAAAAATTATTATACGTGTATTTTTAAATATAAAAAAATCATTATACTTATATAAGCAGTATATTTAATATATATACAGAAAATGCATATGATATATCCTGTATATATTTTATAACATATATGTTGTATATGCACTTCTTATGAATTAGTACCATTATATACCTTGTATATATTAGATGCACAGTGGTAATAAATTATCAAAAAAGTCACTAGGACTCCTCTACTTTCACCTCTAATAAGAAGAGAGAGAGATTTGAATGCTAAATGAAATTTGGAAAAGATGAGAAAGAGTATGAAAAAATGAAATAAGGATAAGAATCAATCCCATGATTAGTGCATTATGTTTACTCATTAATTGTGTGCTTAATCTGTAAAAAGAATTGCTTTTTGTGGAATAAACAAAGAATGATGCCATTTTTTTAAATAATTTTGAAGAAATGCTCAACCGTGTAAAAATCTCTACTACTTTGGATATGTTGCGATGTCATGATTGGGTTTGATGGATTTCTGAGCCCAAATCCATCCGAAATTCAGACCCTAAACCCAATTGATATCGGACTCTAACCCCAACTTCAAATACCGCCATATACTCCGTCATGGCTACAAACATCGCTCTTTTTCCACTTTCTCTCCGACGAAATCCCCGCACTTCTCTTTCTTCTGCAAAAAAATCATCACTGTAAGTTCTATTTCTTTTTCCTGTTAATCGCTTTTCCCGTCTGAGTTCTTACGAGGTGTTTTTTTGTTGAATTAAGATATGTATGTGTTCGATTCTATGATCGTCATTAAGTTCATGTGAAAAATTATCCAATTAGGTGTTTCTCTGAATGGAGAAAAGTTGTTTTTATGTAAAAATTGAAGTGACCAATTTTAATCCGTTTCGCTGTAAGGTTCTTTGGGAGGCTTATTATGTAGCCATGCACATGATGCAATTTTATTGTGACTTTTAGACAATTGTACATTAGTTAATGACAAGGAATTGAAGTGTAGTTTAGGACATTGTGATATCTAACTTGGACCTGTTTCAGAATCCTGCCACAAAGGTGTACCATATACTTTTGGTCTATTGGATCATTGCTATAGTATTTCTTTTTTCTTAATGCAACAGTTGAAGGTACGAGACTTGTATATCAGTGTAACGATGAGTATGATGAGAGTTAGATTTATGTGACATCTAGTTTCACAGAAATTTACATGCTGATTATTTGAATGAAATAGACTCGGATATTGCTGAACATATATTGCAGATTCATATAGCTGATGACTTTAAGTGTTTTTGGATTGAGTTTTGAGGCGTACTTGATTGATAGATTGATTGCAGGACCTATCTAGTTTTGTTCTGTTGTATAGTTCTGCAATCAGGGGCCAGGTTGTAACTACCCACAAAAACTGATTTGGATGATAGTTATATTTTGGGTGTATGTTGCACCTATGCCCTCCCATTATCGCAGTTAGTGCAGTTCTTGGTATTCTTTGATGGATATTTTATATCGGCAAGTTGAGCAGTGTGCTTTGTGTAGAGATCCGTAGGACCGATTAACATGGATATTCATTTGCAATACAGACTAAGCTCATGGTTTTTCTTGCAACCTGATTTAACTCTTAGGGATTAAGTTTCTCTCTGGCGAATTAGTACTACAATTAAACAATCTGTACAAGTTTGATTAAGGAATTGGCCCTTTTATGAGTTTTTTTTTATATTAATTCTTGGGTTATTCTGATAATGGTACTTATATTGCCTTCGCTTTTATCGTACTTTAATTATGGAGCTAGTGCTTTCTGTTATATTTTCTTAATGTTCATATGTTATACAAACCGGTCATGTCAAATAGCTGACCTGTAGCAACTTCTGTGCTTCAAGATTGGCTTATGAAATGTTAGATAATGGACAAAGTGATATCCCCTATGATACGGGACATCAGTATGCTGAAAGATTCTTACATGATTTTTAAGATGTTTGGCTATTAACTTGTTATACATGCATTTTTATTGGTTTCATAAAATGGGCTACATGTCTTATTGCACTCATGAATCAATGCTTTTATATCACGATTATTCTGCACATGCTAGATACTATTAGTTTGTTTCTCCTCATGATTTATAAGCATGTCACTCTGCAATAATCTTCTCTTACACTGTGCTTTCCATTGGCTGTAAACAGATAAAGTAACCTAGTACCCATGGAAGCAGCTAATAACACTGATGTTAGTACTGAAGCAAAACCACAAGTCATATACCGCTGCAAGAAATGTCGAAGGATTGTTGCATCAGCAGAGCAAGTTGTTCCACATGAACCTGGAGAAGGCCAAAAATGCTTCAAGTGGAAAAAGAGAAGCAACAATCCCTGGGAGCAGGAGGCACCTCAATGCTCCTCTATTTTTGTTGAGCCCATGAAGTGGATGCAAGTTGGTGAGTCTCATTCCTAACTGTTCCTTTATTCCTATGAAAAATTGCTTTCCGTCTTTCAAATTATTAATGTAGCTCATACTCATCTGACAGTTGAAGATGGTTGTGTCCAAGACAAGCTTCAGTGCCTGGGTTGCAAAGCACGCCTTGGTTACTTCAATTGGGCAGGCATGCAGTGCAATTGTGGAGCATGGATTAACCCCGCATTTCAGCTGCACAAGAGTCGATTAGATGAATGCCAACTTTAAGTATTTGCCGGTTTGTACTGAGGCGTGGTTAATGGTTATGTATATCGGTTAAAAACTTACCTCCATATTATTAGGGTATAGCTATTCAATATTTGGAAGAAAGAAGACGGTTTTTGATTGATGATGGGGTACTCGATGTAAAGTTAATCTCAAGTAATTATAGCCTAATGGAGTTGCTAACAGTCTCATTTGTCTCTTTGAATGTGTCTTTCTAACAAAGGTGGTCACTTCTCTATATTAATCTGCCAACTACTTAATATTTTCATGCTTAAAGATCAATTAGTGAATTAAATAGCACGTAATATTCGTATTTTGGCTCTTCTCTTGCAGTCATTTTAACTAACGAATCTGTATTGCCAATAAAGCCTGAATCCTTATTGAATGACTGTCTTGATCTCTCGCAAGTCACACTTGCCTTTTTATTCTTTTTTAGTGGAATAGAAAAGGCTTAAAATTGGCACTAGTTAAAGGAACCAAAAGCGAAAAGGAAAAAACACACAACAAACAGAGCAAAAAGAAGTATGAAATGTATTTTTCCATCACTCTTTTGATCCAAATACATCTAAGTTTAAATTCTTATTTAGCTCCCAGTGGAGCTGACCATGAAAGAAGTGTTGAGAAAAAGCAAACAGTATATCCAAACATAAATATCGCGAATCAGAAAATAGGCATCATTTTCCTGCTTACTGGCCAGCAGCAAAAGCTTCAAGTGGGAAAGTTTTGGTGATGCCAGCGAGACTCTTGAACTGAATCTTGCCAGTGGGAGGATCATCCATAGTGATCTCATTAACTGGAGGCCATAGCATCAGTTCCTTAGCCTTCACTCCCTTAAGCTTCTTGATTCTCTTCTTGTCAATGTATCCAGTTATTTCAGTGTCATAACTTACCAGTTTGCTGATCAACTTGAATTTGTGTTCAACTTTTTTATTTTGCAGGATCCACATATAACCTGTGTTCTTCACGAATCCCACTTCAATCACATCAGCAAGAGGGAGAAGCCCCGTTGGGAGTCTGAATTCTTCGAGTAGAGAAACCGCCATTTTCAAACCTTCCTCATGCCCCTTCTTGACAATTCCTCCTTCCTTTTCTGCCATCGTTGCTAGCTTGGACTTCTCTATGCTTTCTTCTTAAGAAAGTGCTTGTTATTGATTACTGTTATGCTTCTCTTCTTGAGGGGAAAGTGGGAAACTGAACTTTTATTGTGTGCTACTATATGAAGAGACAAAATACTTGATGGACAACCCAATGTAAAGAGCATTGTACTAGTCACCAAAGCTATGGTTTTCACTTCAGGCTGGTCCTAACTCCTAAGTTTTATCAAATGCAATTGTTCTGCCATTCTTTTCTTGTTTCATGCCACAAAATTCTAAGAATAAGAAGACAATGCTGCTGTATCAAGTGGCTAATCCAACGCAATCGGCTTGGATTGAGTTAAAGAAGTAGGCCAAATTTTAGAGTTATATATATGCCTATTATGTGTTAATTCGAAAATCTAGTACTATACTAAGTGTTAGGACCGAAAAAAGTCAGGTGTCATGCGGAAGCTAGTAAAGCAAACTTTGAGCAACGATAAATCCAACAACAAAAGAGAAATTTACCAAAAGAGACACAAACACTTAACATGGTTCAGTCAAATGGCCTACGTCCACGGCGGAGATGAGCAATCCACTACAATAAAAGAGAGTACAAAATATCGAGAGAACAACCTCACGAAGAGGCAAACACAAGTGACACACTAACACTTGTCCCATAAAGTTCTTTCCCTAAACACGACTCTCAAGCCCCCTATGGCTACCTTGTGGATGCTACTGTATGTGAAGGAAGGATCCTCAATTTATAGAAGTCCAAACCTTTTCCTATAAGAAAAAGGACTAGCCAAATATTGGAGATTTATAATTTCCTTTTACAAAAAGGAAAACCCAGTTAAGGTAATTATATTGCCATTTTCCTTCAAGAGATAGGAAAACCAAATATGGTAAGAAAATTATAGCAAACACCTAACACTAAGAACTACATTATTACATACATAAATAGCTAGATGGCTTACGACATACTTCCCAAACTTGTATGAAAATTTCTTTAACACGCACTCTAACTTGTAAAAAGTAATGCTATTACCCTAAAATGACACGTGGTTATGAATCCCTTTAACTTTTTGTATTATTCTAATTAAGGTATCCTTCCCGTTGTGCTTTAATTACTCACAACAAGCAACATTTCATAAACAACTTGCCTTAAATATTCTTGGCAGATCTTTTTATTTCCCTTCGTTTACTATTGTGAGACCAAAATTAAAGAACAAAAGAAGATTCAATGAGAGCTAGGCGTCAGATCATGTAAACTACGAAGCAACTGCAAGCCTTTGAAATATGTTAAAACTTTTTTCCTAAACGTTATGTACGTCACTAGTGTGACATTTTATATAAGATTGACATACTTAGAAAACTACCCAGATTTAATATATGCTACCTTAATTTCAATGAACTTTCTTAAACATTCTTATAACCATTCCAATTTGCTCGTTTCAGCAACGCTTTATTATTCGTGTTATGCGAAGATTAAGATACGACATTCAACCCAAAGGGGATTTTTGAAATAATTATAAAAGAATATAGTGGAAAATTTTTTTTTTAGAAGACTTTGTTAATTAGGAAGAAAAGTCACGGAATGTTATGAACAATAAAAGAAGAAGAAAGAAGAGTATTGCAGAGAAAAGTAGAGAGAAAGAATTCTTATTGATTTGGGATGAATTACAATAGAATAGAACCCTCTATTTATAGAGAGAGGGTGACTTAGCCAACAAGCAATGAACCCTAGAATCTCTCTAAATATAGACATTCACCATAAATACAATTCTATTTATAACACTCCCCCTGAATGTCTATTCAACAGATAATGTGCCTCGTTAAAACCTTAACTAAGAGAAAACCCAATGGGAAAAAAAAATCTAGAAAAGGAAAAAGAGTACACATATCTAATAATACGCCTTTTGGTTGCCTCGTTAAAAACCTTGCAAGGAAAACCCAGTGGGACAAAACCTTGAAAGGGAAAAAGAGTACAACGCGTATTAACTCCCCCTGATGAGAGCATCAATTCACATCCTTGAGCATTTGCATTCCAATCTTGTGCACCATTTTCAAAAGATCTTTGGTAGAGATTTGATGAACAAATCAGCCATATTAACTTGAATGAATATATTGTACCTTGAAATCATCATTCTTGATAGAGATATAATGTCTTCATAAATATCGTAGAATGGCTCTTCAATATCTCTATGGAGGTATTCTCGCTATCACATTATCATGCTTATAGTTATAGCAAGATACATATATGCACAAATTGCAATGAGGATGTGGTACTTCAAGATCAAGAATTGTATATGCTTCAAGCAATTTAAATCTTTCAAGGGTCTCATAAGTTAAGCCATATAAGTCATATAATAGACTTTAATTAGATGCATATCAAGGTTTCATGTCATGCTAGACAAATAAGAGATCGAAAACTGATTGCACATATCATTGGCTTTATACTTTCAAGTATTTGAACTACATGTTCAAAACTACATGTCTTTCATATAAATTCAAATTATACTTGAATTGTGGCTTTTCCATTTGGCCAATATTTTTGTGTCTATATTCGATAGACTTAAGATCCTCATCTATCTTAGCGCTATGATAGATGTCGTCGATAAATATTTTATATCGGTTCCAACCTCCTTATTTTTCATAAAGACATAACATAGAGATCTCTTCATTCATATATTCAGGTACCTGAATCTCTCGTGAGATTTTATGAAGTGTTATGTCATGTGATCTTCTAGATCACTTGCCTCCTTTATTATGATCATTTTGATCATTTGCTCATCTTCTTTATCAAGAAGTTTATTTGAAACCGATTTGTCTATATGCTTTAAGCGTACCATAGACTTTGTCCTTCTAGGACTTAATAGGAGCATTTGCAATGAGAATATAGTTACTTTCTTTGGGTCAGCAAATGCGTCTGGCATGCTTTGCAATATATTGCAACTGAATTATCCTTTTATGAACTTCAAGTTCATATTATCTTATTCGAGGATCTAGATGTATAAATGATAATTCATTCCATGTAACTTTTTCTCAACTGTTGTATTTTGTCTCCCCCTCATGTTAGAAAAACTAACTTGGTTCCTCAACTTTGAGAACCCATCTTTGTGCGTTATGGTGTTAATCAAAATATACACCGCACATCAATTATAATAAGATGGAATTATTTGGTTCCTGACCATGAACCACTTGTGAGGGGAGAAATTAATATACTTTCGTATATAACGTATATCAAATTGATATAGATAACTTTGTTCTCATAAGCAATAGTTTAGCTATTAAGTGGAGTAATTATTTTGCTAAACGAACGTGATGTAAACCAATTTATCAAGATGAACTTCTTGAATAAAAAATCTGGAAATTATGCTCGAAATTAAATTATTGAGCAAGTTACCTCGCAATACACCATGTTGCGGGTTAATAATAATCGCACATGTAACCATCTCATAGATGCATCTTATGTGGTATACATGGCAGGTGAATGTGTCCATATTCACCTTTGATATTTCCAGCATTCATGGGATTCAATCCCAATTTTAGTTGATCTATTAATTAATGAGAACAAGCAATATAAGAGAATTCGTAAAGAACTTTCTAGTTCTTTAATATTTACCCATGTGAATTCTCTATTATTTGTGCACATCATACATGAACTAACATGGCTAAACCAAGTATGCCAACTGGATAAATTATCAATATTGATAAACTTCAGGTTTACACCATGATGTGTGCAATTATGAATAAACTTCAAGTTTATTATGATAAAGGTTTTTATATCAATAAATATCCACTTCATTGTGGTATTCTTTTGTTTATGTAGTACAAATTGGAGAATAAAGCGGGTAGCTTTTCACATACATATTACCCCGCTACAAGATGTAGTAATAGAAGATATTAAATTTTTTCTTTATTTATAGTCTCAATATAATCAACCGCTTTCGCGTATACTTTGGAAACTGAATAAGTTTCTCCGATACTTACTATAACACAATACCTTATGGGTAATTAATTGTGTTTCTCCAATATAGTATAATTGGCTCTTGCAGAGTTCTCAATTAATTTTGTAGTACCACATATTCATCAACACCCATATGGTGAATATCTCTTTTAAAGAGAAAGTTATACCATTATGGTTATGGTCAAAATTATATGCAAGATCTGTTTCTTGCATTACCGTTTTTAATAATCACAATGCTAAAATATTTTGGCGTACAATAGGTACGTGACCAATGACCATTCATGCCATAATAATGATATTATTTTCTTATATCATCTCAAACCTCCTTCTAGAGGTGAGTGTGGTATATACCACTAGCACGCTCATATTCTTCCAAAAATGAATATGTATTCTTAAATCAGATGTTGTCACATTCACATCATGAATGGACCATAATCATCTATATATGCTTTATAAATCTCATGTCAAATCGATGACAAATATTTTTCACAGAGTGAAAGATTATTTTGAGAATCCTTATTATTCTTATTATCACAATGTCCACATCGATTGATACATTCATAGTGATAATTTTGTCTTCTTTCAGACTTATCACATACTGCTATCACATTCTCTTAAGGGAATGAGAATGGAGCAAATTCAATGGGACGGGTTTCCACTTTTTGTGCCCATAATCATACATGAATTTGATCATGGCAAGACATAGAAATTTTTACCATTTCAGGTGGTTATAATTTCTTACAAACTCCATTAGAGTTATAATCAAACTTTGTTGTCTTTGCTTGTATATAAAATCAAAGTATAGAATAAAAGAGAAAAATACGGTAAAATACTTACCTTAAATCCAGAATTTAATCATGAAGGAAGTTCATGGAATAATTGACCATCATTATGCTCAATCCCAAAGCTTCTACTCAATTGGTTAGAGTCTCGTGCTGATAACGTGTTATAAAATAATAAAAGAAGAAGAAAGAAAGTATTGCAGAGAAAAGTAGAGAGAGAATTCTTATTGATTTGGGATGAATTACAATAGAATAGAACCCTCTATTTATAGGGAGAGGGTGACTTAGCCACCAAGCAATGAACCCTAGAATCTCTCTAAATATAGACATTCACCATAAATACAATTCTATTTATAACACGGAAACTAATATGATAGTGATGGAATTATATATAAGAAAAGCGACAACTATTATTTAAAAACCGTTATCACGATAATCCACCTAATGCCCATCCTTATGCATGGTTGGTTGTATTATCAAGATTAGATTGAATTTCTTATATATGTTGTTATTATATTTACTAGTATATATCAATCACCTTTCCCCCAAACAACGGATTGTGTAGATGAGTGGACTCTATTAAAGCAGCAATTTCAGTGTGCTTTCTCAATGACCCAATTCTTCTCCTTATTATTTTCTTGAAACTTATATGGCCCCTCATAGCACAAGGTTTGTCTCCAAAAATTAGCAACCTAGGGTCAAATTAAAACATGAAAAAGGAAAAGATAATATGATTGTGGGTCGGATCACATTTTAAAAAAATGCTATTTTTGGTTATCTTTATTTCTCTTTCTTATGTGTAAACGCTCCAATGAATAGATATACGTGCCTGTCCAGGTCTAGTTTTGTGTATATAAACATACAGACAGACACACAAAGGCACAAACTAAAACTTAGATATTTCATCTAAGGAAGTCTACATTTGTGTTGCTCCTCTTCTCAAAAGTCACACAATATGACGGTGTGCTTCATTCTAAACTCATACGTTTACATATAGTTTCTTTTAATGTTACTTATGTACCCATTCCCAACGCCCCCTCCAACAAAAGGAGAAAAGAAAGAAGGATAAATGGTAACATAATCTTTAGTATCATGAGCGTGTGCGTGTAAATATTTGTGTGTTTGTGTGTGTGTGTGTATTCCAGTGTTTCACCAATTAAACGGCACATTGGTTTAGGTTCTGCATGTTTATGTATTCGAGAGATACGCATGCATATGTCATATAGTGTATGTGAAAATGGAGAAAAAAATTGGTTACTAACTTTTTGCACTTCTGTTTGTCTCTCTTATGTTATTTTCCTCTCTTTTGGTGTTTATTTTCGTGGGTTATAATTGCTTATGTGTATGGTGGGAAATAAATTTGAGCATAATTTGGGTTTATCTCTCTTCTTATGTTTATCATTCTAGTTTTCTACTTCAGAACTTTTAGATTTATGCTTTCCAAATTCTGTTTCCTTTGAAATAATGATGTTTTCCGTATTTTGTTTCTTCAATATATATTTGAATATGAATGAGCTAGGTTGAAGACCATAGAGTAATGAGAAAGAGCTATCCTGCTAATCTCTATTTACTCCTTCAAAAAATTCGAGAATATAATTTAATATTACTAATGAGTGAATTGTTACTAGTATTCTTTTCTGTCGAGTACATGAAGTGCATTAAGGTTAGTGGCTCGGAAAAAATGCAACAAAAAAAAAGAAAATGTACTAAGTGGCTCTTCGATTCCACTATTTTCTACTTTATAACGATGGTCTTATGCTAAAAATTAGCTTGATAAAAAATAAAATCCCTATTATAGGGAACACTCTACTTTGTTTTCATGATGACTTGACATATTGCGCCGTAGTCGTTGTAAAAGAGATTTAATTATTAACGAATAAATGCTTAAAATAGGGAACGTACTATGATTTTTATATAGTAAGGGATAGTGTAAGAGCTTTTACAATATTAGTAAATTTTAACGTATGGTAGTACACTATTTACCATTTTTAACATGTTGATGGTTAATGTTTATATAAAATTTATAATTACCTTATAGGAGACATAAGAATATAATTTTTTTTTTTACTGTAAGTGTATAACATTAAACTCTAAATTAAGTTACCCATTATTCATTATAGATTGTGGAAATGAGAGTGCACGTGGATTGTCCAGGATGCGAAAGCAAAATAAGGAAGGCTCTCAAGAAGCTTGATGGTTGGTATCTACTATCACAATTCCATTCTTTTCTTTTTAAATTTTTTTGACAAGACAGCCTTACTGCCTTACCCTTTGTAATAGAATTATTTAGCATGTTTTATATAATGATATTTCCTATAAAATAGTTTTCTTACAAATTTTAGTTGGAGACAACGTTTAAATTATTATCCACCAAAGTCATCATTCACACAGCTGGTGAGGTTTTTGTGTCTTCATGCATGCTTGGATATAAAATGGACTTTTCTCATTGTCCAATAATTCTTTGGACCTAAACCATTAATGTGATTTGATGAGTTGATCTGTTTTTATACTATTTCTATCAATTTATTTTTTCAAGTGTAAGCAGTAAGTCAACATGGCCCTTATATATATATCGGAATTATTTAAAGCATACATTTAAATTAATTTTCCTAATTGACTTGTTTCACTTTGGTATTAATCTCAGGTGTTGATAACATTGACAAAGACATGAACATGCAAAAAGTGACAGTAACAGGATGGGCAGAGCAGAAAAAAGTCCTCAAAACAGTGAGGAAAACTGGAAGGAAAGCTGAACTATGGCCATATCCATACAATTCAGAATACCATAACTATATGCACCATTATTATGACACATTCTACAGCACGCCAGCCACTTACTTCGCACACCAGCCTTCTTCTTCCTACAACTACCGCGTGCACGGCTACAATGGCCATGCTCACGGTTACTATGCAGAGCCACCTTACAATACAATCTTCGATGAACGAACCAGACACATGTTCAGTGATGATAATGCCACTGCCTGTTCTATAATGTGATTGATCTGATTCAATTTGATCTTTAGGTGGTTTGCAATGCTCTATTTGTTTCTATTTTTTAGACTTGTTTTGGGGTTGGCTAATCTTTTTCCTTTTAGCTCCGTTGAGGTTGAGAATGTGGGGAAAACTATGGAGCTTACGATTGAATCAAAGTTGTGTTCATTTGCTTTATGTTATCCATATTTCAATGTATATATATAGTTTGTTTATTTTTCCTTTCATTTCGTAAATTCTGTTCTTCAATTTATCTTTCCTGTCGAACATGAACATGGAAAAGAGAGAATCCCAAAACTGTCAGAATATATTAATTTACCAATGAAGGGTGGTCAATTTGAACACCCTTTGTCGAAAAATTATACAGTATATATATAGTGCAAATATTACTTTTAATACATGTATATATAATCTTGAATACACTCAGCGAAATTCCTCGCTTCGTCACTGGTTGAAACCAGCCGGTATAAACAAATAAACCAGCAACTTTGGGACAAATATGCTTTTGCAGTCAATTATTGTACCCGTCAAAATAAAAAAGAATCAAGCTTTTAGCGTTTTGATGTCATTTATATATACGCTGAATTGCTTCCTGTACAACTATAAGAGCTACAAGCTAGGGGTAATTAATGAGGACGACTCAGGTTGCTTCTCTTGTTGCTTTATGTGATCTGCCACATGAGAAATTACTCCAGCTCCAGCATTGTGAAAGAATTCATTCTTCACCTGTCACCGGAAAATAGTGATCGAATTAACCCTGACACGGAGGAACATAAAGAAATAGAACATGGAAGGAACTTACATGGATAAAGTTATGCGCGAAAAAGGGCCAGAACGCCGAGTGAAAGCTAACATCAACTTTCTTCCACCCCAACTGTTGCAAGCCACGTATCATTTCCTCTGTTCGAAAAGAGTAGTGAGATTTTAGCTTGCTGTAGAAGATATATAGTAGCATTGAGATTCATTTGAAACTAGCAGAAACATCTCTCTTAGTACTATTACCTTCCATACTTTCATGATATTCTAATGTACTCTGCGTGCTTAGTGCATTTTGTGCTGCCTCCTTTGCTTTGGCTGCCTCGAGGGGGTAATGAGGTCCTTCACATGAAGCTGGAGGACAATATTCCACATCTACTACATGTTTGTAGCCATCCAACGATCGCCAAGGGGGCTGCCAATTTAACAAAATCATAACTGCCACAGATGAACTCACGATGGTAGCACTTTTAAAGTAATGAAACCAAAAAGACTAACTGGATGTTGCTGTTCTCCATTCTAAAGCAGCTGGGTTAAGTACTTAATTTGGTTCTTACATATAAAAGTAAAGAATCACTGAGATTTGAAATGCAATTACTGGATTCAGAGTCAAATGTACTAACCACTAGACTGTGGAACTTACTGCTCACCTACAATTTCCAACTTTAACTCTTTATCTGACCTACAACTGTCAAAACAGTTGCAAAGTATATTAAATCACTAAAATTAAGTTTGAGAACCACATAATTTCTTGTTTATCATTAATTATTTTCCCAGCATACTATGGAATGCTCTCAGAGAAAGAGGAGTGTGCATCGGAGAGAGCAAGGGCTGCTCTCACCAAATCATCAACAACACAGCATTCTGTGGTTTTAGAATTGCTCCAAGCCATAACCCAAAACCTCTTCCCTAGGAATTTCAATTCAATCTTGCACTCTTGAGTAACTATTGCTTAACTAAACCAATTATAATTGTATGTCCTTTTTCGTCTTTATCTTGACTAAATGCTAACATTCACAATGCTATAGTTATGGACAACAAATGATAACAATGATTAGTAAACCTCAAATCACCTTGACGAGTTCTGTCTCCCTTCTTATAGATGATGTACGCCAACCGACCATATCTAGAGAATGTCAAGAAATTACTGCAATTAATTCAACAAATTGAGAGAGTTCATTCCAGTGCTTTTTCTCTCAACAACAACAACCCAGTAAAATCCCACAGGTGAGGGGTCTGGGGAGGGTAGTGTGTACCACAGGTAAGGTCTGCGTACACACTACCCTCCCCAGACCCCTCACATGTGAGATTTTACTGGGTTGTTGTAAGGTCTGCGTACACACTACCCTCCCCGGACCTCTCACATGTGAGATTTTACTGGGTTGCTGTAAGGTCTGCGTACATACTACCCTCCCCAGACCCCTCACCTGCGGGATTTTACTGGGTTGTTGTTGTTGAGAGGAAAAGCACTGGAATGAACTCTATCAACGAATTATTTTTTGCTAATTAAATGAAGAAACAACAAATGAGATGCAAAGGATACGATCATAAGAGACATTAGCATATAGAACACGACATTTGAAAGCACCAAGCGCTGATCTGCAAGAAGGAAAAGCCAGGCGTAAGAGTAAAAAGAGAATGGGGCAGGAGAAACAGCTGCTTCAAGGACTGGTAGGGATAATTATACTCACATAAAATTTCCGTCATCGCAGTCTGATGCCATCCTTAGCAGCAGAGGTGGTTTAGTAGGTTTGCCATCCGTAAGGAAGAGCTGACTACCAGTTTGACCAACAAAAATAGGAGCCATAGGTGCTGCAATTTTCTCCAAGATTGGCAACCCGAAGAGAAAAGGAAGCTGAATAATAAAAGCTAATCAACTGTCCTGATGTCAGGAGCCATTACAAAGTAATTACAACACTATTTTCTGGATAAGCTACTAATAACAACATACCATTCAAATTCTGAGAGACAGTATCAAAGATTATGATTTAAACTAAGACTTAATGATTTGTTTGACCCAACATTAACTGGCAAATTAATATCCTCCTAAATGTAAGTCAATATGACCCTCAAGTTAATATCCTCCTGGATGCTTCAGGTATGTTGACACACAACTTATTGAAGGCCTGGTAAGGCATTTTCTTTTCTGTTATACTATGTGGCTTGACGTCTAGTTACTATGCAGTATACCACTATGATTATTTGTATATAATCTTTGTCTTACATAATAAAAGGCAAAAATATTCCTGGCATCTGCTTTAATGAAACAGGAAGTTTCATGGTTCCTTTTCTTTACTTGTAAATATTGATTAACACTTGTATAATTTTCTGAGTAAATAGGTCCTGACACAGTCTTTCTCATTCAATATTAAACAATTTAGATTTTTGACTCATGCTTAAAGTGGTGCTGTTAAAGTGATGAATATTTTAAGACATAGTAAGTACGGACATAGTCTTAAAGTAAAGAAGAATTCAGAAAAATCTAATTCAAATGTCTTAAAGTTTTCTGCTTTAAAAAAGCTAAAAGCTAGTTTCTACTCTGCAACAACTTACTAGTCCACTTAAGTTTCAAAATTTTCCAGGTAGAGGCTTCATTACGAGATTTATAATAAAAAGCATGAATACAGGATATATACTTATCATTCTCATAAAATAAATATATGCATAAAATACATGAAAACAACTGAAATCCCTATGAAGGAAATTGTAATGGACAAAATCTAGTAACTTCTTGAAGGACAAAAAAATATTGAGATAAGATTCAATCATGGATCACTGATCAGATTGTACCATGAAAACAGACCTGATTTTTCCCTCTCACACCCAGATGTGGTGTTGCCAAGGTGATAAAATTGACTGGCTCCAGGCCAGCAATCAAACCTTCATTTAAGGAGCCTACTGGTTTGAGGTTTGCATTAGTTGAAGTGACTGAATCATCGGACTGCTCACTACCATTTGATGAATAAAGTGCGGCAACTGCATATCTTGCAATCAATCCACCAAGAGAATGAGCTAAAAAGGATATCTTCTTTAGGCTTTCTCTTTTCTGCACAACCAGCCTAACCTGTTTATTATCAGATGTTCCAAATAGGAAAGGATGAGAATTCATAGTTTCACCCTGGAAGCACAAGCCATGTATTGGAGAATTGAAAAGGCAGAGTACAAGAGGGTTATGTTTTCATGTCAGAAACGAGTGGCTGGAAACTATATGACCATTCAAATACTTTGTTTACATAATTGAAGTTTCTAAGACAAATACTGAGTGCAGGTAAAAACAACTAGCTTTTGGAGAATTTTTATTTAAGTAGTGAAGGCAATATGCTTATGAAGTAAAGGTATATCGAGGCCAACTTTACCAGTTTGGTTGCAGTGATTCAGGTAAAATTAAAAAGAAAAAACCCAGCTATTATTAGTGCAATTTAGACAATTTAAAAAATCTATATCTGATGCACTGATGGAAGGACATTTATCAGCTAATACTGTAATACACCACAAATTTTATTCACTTTCCGCAGAATAGCCAGAGGACATTGACCCTTTGTTTCTTATACAGCAAGTACCAGCATAGGATACTACCTATCAGGGATCTCTTGCTTTGGGTATTGTATAGCTAACCAAAAACCAGTGACAAAGCTAACCTACACAAGTAAACAGCAAGTACCAGCAAAGGGACCATACTCACTTCATCTGCTAGTCGTTCTCCAGCTCCATCAATCCCTGTGAAGGTTTTAGTATACGTATTACATGAACTTGCTGCTCACCATGAAAGACAAAGTCAGATAGCATACACAAACCAATCAAAAAAGGACTTCCAGATTTTGTTGAATTCCTTCCTGGATTTAGATATACGTAAGATTCAAGATTTAAAAAAAAAAAAAAGAATGAGAAAAGATAAAAGATTGAGATCCCAATTGTATCAGTTATTTGATAATTATTAATACAAATTGTAGTATTTGGATAGTAAGATATGGAGTTTCATGCAGTAACAAGTATAAGTTTCAAACTCTGATAAGATAAGGGAAACACAAACATAATATTGTCCTCATTGCCAATTTTAGCGGTTGAGTTCATGAAATCCTTGTCAATTATTATTTCCAGTTTCATTTCTTCGTCCTCTCCCATACCACCCCCTCCAAAAGAGAAACAAAAAGTAAAAACTAAGCAAAAATCTCTTAACCTTTTTCTTTTAAATGAACTAGTCTTTCTATTGGCCCTTACAGGTGAGGGAAGAGGTAAAAGCTGCATAGGAATCGGTCCAAGATGAAAAGAGCAAAGAGCAAAAGCATAAAATTTATTATGCCATCAGTTGTCGAAACCAATCATCCAATATGTGAACAAGGAAAATGGGCAGCATAAACCCTGACATGTGGTAAAGCTATCTATAATCAAGCTATTACTTTTTTCACCCGCTCCATACAATGACTACAATATGTCAACCAAGAAAGGTTTCCATAAAGGTGCCAAT